AGAACTCTGACTGAAAAAGTACTTTGAAGAAATAATTCACAATGTAAATATACTTTTGAAAGTTTATTAATATAAAACAGTTGCATAAAAAATTCTATATTATGAGTATATAATTTATTATATAATATAAAAGTATATAACATTTGAGTGTATTAAAAATATTTAATGTACACTGTATTTATATATATTTTTAGTGTGTATGATTACAATTTTAAAATGATAACTCGACAGTCTAATTATTTGAAAATAATTAACATTTACTATACCTAAAATTATGCAACAAATAATTTTACTCATTGTCATTAATCAGCGATTAGTTAAACTTTAATAATAGTGTATTAAAACAATCAGAAATACCTAGTATAAAATATTAAATGTTTTATTGAATTAATAGGTGGTAGGTACATAAATAAACGATTTTCTACTCAGTGAATCATAAACGTCAGAGTATGATATTAGAAATCTGTTAATAAACTGTGACCCTATTCTATTATGATATAGTACAAACAATCGTGAACGATTGAATAATAGCTGAATAGTTATATACCTACACCCACAGGCTATCATCATATTTTAAAACGTTATCGTGTTATGCTATAAAATTGTATACATAATAATATAATATTAATCTTTGTTCCGAATTCAATTTTTGAAGTGATCGTTTGCATTAAACAACTGCAATGGCTTCCCTAGACCGTTTTCTACAAGGGGAAAGAAATCGCATGTATTATATGCAAATATCATATCATTATTCATTAATATCATTTACGAAAAAACCGTACCACACCACCGAATCCTGATTAATTCTGATACCGGTTTTGGCGGCAACTTTCCGAACGTGTGCGCAACAAACGAGCCCGTCGACGAAATCTAGTGAAGGGGTTAATCTGAAACTACGGTCCATGAACGATTACCGCATGAGATCTGTTGACGTGAATGCGGTATACTCAATCGACTCGATCATCGTCGTTACCGTTTACCGAACACGGTGAATGGGTAACCGCGATATTTCCCATTGGTGAGTCTTTGGAAAATGGACGTCATCGTAGTCAAAGATTCTCGTTCAAAATTTTAAATATTGTTTTTGCCTTGAAAATAGTAGGTACCATCACGATGATATAGATTTCTTAGGGTTTTATAAATTCTAAAATGTATTCTAAACACTGAAAACATACAATGTATCTAAGTATTAATTACCAAAATATAATGCTTTTTTTTACATGTTAGCACAAATTACAGTAGTAGGAATTTATATGACTTTATATAGATTTTAATTGTTACCACTTCTTTTGTATCTTTGCTTCTTTCATTCATATTAAAAAACCATCATTCACTGAAACTAGAATCAGACCTTTTTTCTGTAAATTTGATTTTAAAAACCAAAACTGGAACCGAAAAAATCTTACAGATTTCAAGCCCGTGCGTAATAATAATGCGGTGTGCAGTGCTGCGAAATTCCGGCAAAACTAGTCTGTTGATATATGTCTGTATGACTGTATCTACGTATATATTCAAGCCTTATCGTCTGCACCAGTACGACAAACCGTGTGACCCATTTCCAGAGGATTACGTTTTGGTCTCTACGTCAAGGTAACATGAACACTGTCATCTATATAGTTCACAGATTTCTTGTGTTTGTGGGAATAGCCAGTTAATTATGCATACATTTGTACGACCGTTATTTAGAATTTATTGTAATTTGTAGTTATATATTACATCATTTATTGTGTATAGAAAAAAAAATTAAGTGGAGGAGCTCATATTTTAACCATTTGAAAACTGCGTTCCGAGTGTAAAATTATTTGACGCAGATCCAAGAGGGGGTATGTTGAACCACCCCCTCCCACCAAATCAGCAGTCTCAATTAAATAATTATTCATAAAATCTTGATGAAAACAAATTAATAAAATTAATTATATTAAAAAAGTATTTTATTAAAAATAACTCCTCCCCTCCTTCCTAAAGTACTAATGAACATAGTTAGTAGGGGAGGTCTTAATAAATAAAAAAAAATAGTGGATCAGCTCCGTCCGACTACTCATTCCCTCCCCTAATTTGAGCACTGACAAAGTGTGTGTATATCATAATATAGTTTTGTAAATTCCAAATTCCAAATAATACGCCTGTTAATATAGTCAAAGAACCATAGTGTATGATGATTTCAAATTATAATATTATGAATTATGATCTATTATACGTCTATTATATTATTTATTGTACAAAATCGTCGCTTCGCTTATTGTATTTGCAGTATATAAGTTTGTAAGATCCAAGTTAAACGCGTGGTAAAATAACGGTTCAAAATATTATTGTTGACGGTTATTTGGGTAGGTGAAAAATGTTTGTTATCTGCAAATATCTGTTTCTGGTTAGTATATAACTGACATTTTTGTGTATGCAAATCATCAATATCATCATGCAGCTCTGAAGTGGTTATAAACTTAAGTAGGTAGGTATAGTCCAGTAAAAGCAATATAATATTCAAGTACGTAAATATCTATAGGCCATATAGGTAGCAATAAAATGGGCTGTGAGGACTTATCCGCTGCAGCAGTAGGCGTAATTCCACTGCAGTGTATTACGCGTTCAGTGTTGTGACCTACGACTTACGAGAGATATCGTTTTCATCCCTATGTATAAATAAACTTGCATCACGGGTTCAGGGGCGTTTATTAGGCGGGAGAGTTTATCCCAGAAGACACTTTTTCTGGTACTAAAAAATCTCATAACCTTTAATGCAGTACGCCGGTGCATTGGTATATACTCAGCACTACAGACAGATCACATTATATTATATAAGTCCAGTAGTTTTCAAGAAAATCCCGAAGAAATGTAAACAAACACGCAGGCCGTAGTTTCCTACAGAATCGGCTTTTCGAGTTCAACGATTTATCGTTGCTTTTAAATTTAAAGACACCCGCCCATCTGGCACGCCCAAGTGCCCAACTCCTCGTTATATCATAGATTATTTTTTTGTAAAATATAATACGTATATAGATATATCAGTTCAGTTGCACACTGGTATAATACTCAACGGTTTTAATCATAAAGTCCTACCTATAAATAATTTAAGGTACCTACCTACCTAATGGCCGTGATAATCGCGTGTTAGTGTTATCGGGCGTGTAATACGGACAACGATCATTTGTTATCATGATTCATGACACGTATAAAATATAAATTATTGTACATATTATTTATAAATATCGTATCAAGTACGCTGTTCGTGTTGTGTTAATTTAAAAAACTTCCATTCGCTGTAGTCCTACAAACGGACTGCCGACGAACGGATTGTAACGGGTGTTTCAGCAATATTGACCGAGTAAATTTAAAATCGACAATTAATTTGGTGGGGAGGGGGGACCAATGACGTTCAAAAATAGGTAAGAATCAGTTTTCCTCAAAAAAAAAAAGAAATGTACTTTCCATTTTTTTTTAAACAAGAACCATAATAGTTATATTTTTTCAAATATTAAAATTATATTTTACTTATTCATTTTTTAAATATTAGAATTGTTATATGAGATAACTATCAAACCTTAAATAATGACACGAATTATTTTATTTTTAATCTTATACATAAATGTATAAGTCTTTATAATACTCCCAGTATTAATAGTTTATAGGCGGTTAAACAATTTAAAATAATAGATATTATAAAATAATATTTTAGTATATTATATGACAATGGTTTTCAATTATAATTAATTTCATATTTGATGTTTATCTAATACCAATAATACATACAAATATAATACGTATATACTCGCCAATATTCATTGACAGAAAATGATAAGTACCAGCTCTCACTCAAATTAATAATTGGATAAAAACTTCTTATTTTTGTGATGGAGTGAAATGGACGATTGGACAGTGGTGGAATATAGTATCTTATTTTTTCAAAAAGGCTATGGTTATATTTTTTTTATGTGTTACTCATGTAGCCTTATTATATCTTATTATGTTCGAAAATATCGATTTACAATAATCGAGGATGGCGTATTATTATGTTAAATTGACAATTGGTCCTCGCAAATAGCTAGTAGATTCGACAGTTCGACACTGATATTCTTTGTATCTTATATTCTTATTAGGCATCTCAGTACTAATATTTCCCTTGACAATTATTATGTCTTGTATGGCTAATCATTCAAGGTATTATGATTAGTTTTAAAAAAATTAAAAAATGTTCAATATATCAGAGAAAAAAAAATTAGACGGAGACTAAGTGGTCGAGTGTTACCGCTGGGTTGCTACTCACCTCACGCATTCACAACAATTGTATTTTAGCCCATATGCTTATTGTAACTTTTATTACAGATTGTATATATTCTAATAAACGTTAAAAAAAAAAAGTTAAAAAAAAGACGGGGACTAATAATGTCCTAGATCCGCTGTCCATATATAATAAAAATTATATCTATTGCAGGTCCGAGAAAAGCGTTGAAACCCGGCAACAGCCTTGCCCAAAAGTTTGATCAAAGATGCATTTTGGGGCGGGACCCGAGTCGAGAAATCCGATACCTTGACGACAAATTATTCGCTTACAGGTACAATATAATAATTATTAGTTATTGTTCGGGGAAAGCGTTTAATGGATAGTATAACATTATAATCGTGTGGCGTTAAGTGACGATTTCTGTGGGGAAACCGAAACCATCGTCGATTTGGCAGCGGAATTCGCGAGCGATTTGAAACGTATACACCGAGTACCTGCGTTCCTATCTATATTATTTATTATTCACGAGCAGATTTATCACGCTGCACGTCGGCGGAGACACGCATTGGCAGACGGTGTAAACGATACTATTATTATTTGGTTGACCGTTCGGTATTTATCGCAATCGCGGTTCCTGCCCGACCAATCACCGCCGATTCGCGGTGTATAATACACGGTATCTTATTATAATTACAGTCTGGTTACGTAAGCGGTCCGCGGTGGTAAACCGTTTAACCGCGAATACCTATTAATAATACATATAATGCTGCGAGATGCTAACCTGGGTATGGTGGACAGACTGAGCGACGACCGGCTGGACAGCGGTTCATAGCGGCCGGTGGCGCTGAGCCAGACGGCCACGTCGCCGTCGTCGTTTAGCGAATTGCTGGACGATCGGCACTCGTACGGCTGCCACAGCAGCGACGATATGGCACGTTCGTAGTTGCTCGTGAACGTCCTGCTCCTGGTCAGAGTCGACACGCCGCCACCGCCTCCGGCCGCACCACCACACGTCCAAGTCCGTGGCCTGCGCCTCTGCTGCCCGTTTCCCTGCAGTACGACGGCACATCCGACGGGTGGCGGGCAACAAGCGCACGGCGACGACCACGACAGCGGTAAGTCCTGGAGCTGGTTCGCTTCGCCACCGGTTATAGTGTACACTGCCGTGGCCGTCGTATCAGCCGGCCGCTTTCTCGTCTTGTAATTGACGGCCGTGTCCAGTCCGCCGACGCCGCCGCCACTGCCGTCCGGCTGTTCTTCTCCACCTCCGCCTTCGATCATCGTCCGTCCCGCGACGACAAGGCGACACTTTTATTATTCTTGTTGTCGTTGCTGTTCCTGTTGTACGGACTGAACCATCGATCGCTCTCCGTCAGACTGCTCCACCTACAAGCAAATGTATTATAGTCAGGGGTGGTTATGCCATGCGGAGGGATGATACTTATTTTACGACATATGTACATTTTGATCATTAAACTATCGTTTAAGGTTTATAGATAAATTTATAAAATAAAAAGATTACTTATAGTTAATAATTATACATATATTAGTAAACCATTATGCAAATTTATTTGATACTTTATTTTGGGTTATATTTACAACTCCGCGCTGAATAGCCCAGCTAACTAAACCATTGATACAACTCTAGAGTAACATGACGATTTATAAATATTAAAGTTTTAAATTAAAATTTTAAACATGTTTTTAATTTAACTATAAATGAAAATATGAGAAAAAACCTAAAAAGATATAGTTTATAATTTAAGGAAATGTTTTGTGTTTGAACTGGTAATTTAATACTTATATTATTCATACAAATATTTCCTTATAGCCTAAAGCAGATTTATTAAGTTGAGTATTTACCCCTACGGGCCTACGAGAGTTAATTGTTTTTATAATCAGAAAAAAATAATTTTGTTATCAACAAACATGAATTGTTTTTAATTATTCATATTTTATATGATTATAAAAAAAAATATTATTATATTTTCTCTATAAAAATATCATATCAACAGTATATAAAATATTATTATAAATATTTTTAAAAAAAAAGGTCACGGGGAGTTAATATATCCACCGTCACCCTGTCCCCATTTTACCACCATTTTAACAATAATCGTTTGATTGTGTCATTTTGGTCAACTGGTTTTTTTTTCTGTAACGAATATTTTTTATTTTTTATTAATTATTTTATTTGGCAGTACACTATAGGAAGCGGCTTTAGTGCTCACGTCTATGCACATCATTCTAATAGCGACTACGCCAATATAATTATTGTGGTCACCTAATATAATATAACACATACGTAGTAGGATGGATACCGCAAACAGTACATAGTTTAGACATGAGATGTTTGTTCAACTATTAAAATACTTGTTTGTTCTTAGAATATTATAGATTCGTAACTCCGCCGCATCCTGGTACATTATGCATATCAATCTATGTAGGCATGTATGTAATATATATGCATGTATGTATGTATGTATGTATGTATGTATGTATGTATGTATGTATGTATGTATGTATGTAATATGTATGTATAAAGTCAACGGCATGGAATCGAGACTTTTATTATTATCCGTGATTATTTATAGATTACGATTTACTGTGCCACGAAAAAATCACATTTTTTTTTTTACGTTTTTTCGTTCTGTGTCAGTAGGTATAGGTATAGGTTACCTACTAAAAAATATAGAAAATGTGATCAATAAACCCTTTTGCCTTTTTTTTCGTACAAGGAGAGCGGTGATTGTACTGCAACCGTTCATATATTATGTACACGAGCCACCACCGGCCAAAAGTTGAAAATTCGAATATATCTGCAATGTATAGGTACTAGGTAGGCCCAATTTGTAAGTTTGTCAACTGAAAAATATTAACTAACCGAAGAACAGCCTATAATTATGTGGAAATACGTATAGTATTATAATTCGTTATGTTATTCGTCTGAATATTTTTATTCGTATTATTCACACATTTTTATTTTTGGGTAGATTTAAAAAAACAACTTTGGAGATACCTACATTCCAAACATGGCAGGACTATGTATATTTTGTGCTAAATGTCTAATTTATCAGCTCTCTGATGACCTCTAAAGTATTTTACAAAAACTGAATATAACTGCATAATTATAAAATCTTAAAATGTACGTATTATCTTTTTTAGAACTTTAGAACCAATCTAAAATTATCAATGTTATTTGAGCTATATTGCATACATATTTTGTGAATAGTAAGAATAATAATATTATCAAAAGTTTTATTATCAATAGAACCTGTTTTATAAAATCCCTAGAAAATTAAATATTATATATTTTGAATATTGGAAAGAAGCCAGTTATGTATTGCGTTTTTAGAATACAAAATCGTGTACCTATCTATGCACGTTCATTGTAAATTGTATACGAATACTTAGTATAGTTAAATATTACTTTTTTAGGTAGTTACCCTCCACACTATTTATTATTTGGTCTATTTTTTAAACTAATTACAACATCTATGATTAACTGTATTATTGTATCAAAGTTAAAAATTAAAATTATAAATTTCTCTATAGTCTCGTTATACTTTGGTTTTGGTGCGTTTGAAATACGTTTTATAATAATTACTTTTTGAAATCATTCATAAGTTTCATAATAAACTTTTAAATATTTAAACTTTTAATATTTTAAATACGAATTTTTCTATCTGTTTAAACTCATAATTATTGATAAACAAGAAAGGGTGATTTTAAAATGTCTTTTTCACAACTTGAAAGTTCAACGCATATTTTGCTGGTTTTGCGTGATAATGACTAAAGTTTATAACGATGATCTCGGAGGAAGATCAAATTGCCAGTTTTTTTTTAAAAATTTTATGATGAATAAGATATGATAACTAAAAAACACATTTACACATAGTGTTGGTCGGAGAAATCGTATGGCGTGCGTCGATTGACTTCAGACGAACAACACTATCGCCTATATCATCTTGAAGGTCACCCGAAGTATAATGAGTGCAGTACAATTATGTTACGATATTGATGTATATGTATTATAATTTATAACAAATACTACGGGGAGGACAATAATGGTGTGAATAAGGCGAGAGTGAGTTGGGTGCAGTAGAATAATACGATGCACATAACATAATATAAAGAGACCAGTATCATATTATTATATTATAGTATATCGTACACGTGTTCTGATGGATGTCTAAAATGACATGGACGGATATGATATATTATGTTGAGACGAACACAGAAGCGTTCATGTGTATATTAGAGTGATTTCGTATTAGAAATGTTCGGATACTATACGTATGTATAATATTTTATATTACATTGTTCAATAGTTGGAATTAAATATTAAAGAGGTCTAAGTACATCACTATTATATTATATTGTTTTATAAAGTAATATGAATACGGTATAGATATGTAGTTGTTGTAACTTGCTGGCGATTAGTTCTGCAGATGTGTTTGGGTTTCAATGAAAACGTAAAATGTAAACCAAATGATTAAAAAATGTACATCCTTTATGAGTCATTTGCATAGGTACTTATAAATGTAATGCAATAGTAATATATTATACGACGTATAAACTGACGACTATTAAATAAATAGGAGTATTTCATGATATCGTATAATAATATGGGACTTGGATACGTAACGGGATATTAAAACCATTGCAGTTATTTGCAATGCCGAGAAGACATTCAGGCTTTGTAGCTTGGATTACTTAAGACTATACGTTCGTTAATTTAATTACATTTATAATAGGAACAAGAGCTGCATATATCAATTTCTATTGAACTGAAAAAAAAAATTAAGTACTTTAAATCTCAAATCCTTTAGTCTTGTTTCTCTTGGGACAAATGGACAATGCGGTAACATAATAATATTATTATATAATCATATTAATTTCAATATAAATCCTAAGTTTGCTCGTTGTTCATTATGCATGTATGGCGGCTGAAAATAATTGGGTTTAACCAAAAGCCGTATACTCTATTTAGGAAGATTCATTCGTATTTCATTAAAAAGCAGTTGCACTTGAAGCATCAGTAATTTTAGTTCAATTAAATGATAAGTATCTCACGTTGAGTTACTGCCTGTCGCAATAATTATTATGAAAGTATAATCGGACTAAGTCTGAAATATCTACCAAATTGTGCCAATCACGATTTTGAAAGGGTGTACAAATAAAATCAATTAACTTATATACAAGCTATAACTGTATAGACAAATTTCAAATTTATTTTGGTTGCATGTGCAATATGAATTGTTTATTTTTTTGCACTTCTCAACTTAATTTAGTTGGAATTTCGATGTGTAATTAACTAAATAATTAAATCATCAAGCAATACTCAAAATACACTTATTAAGTACATTTTCAACGTACAATAAAATCGGGTTTAAATTGTACATTTTGTAATGCTCTAACATATTTTATTGTGTACATGGTATAAATTAATAATCTGTAAGTTTTGTCATAATTTTAACAATTGTTTTTAATTTCCTGAAAATTATTTATAATTAGTGGTTCATAATAAATCATTTTAGCGGAACTATCTTAACATAACACTGCATGTACACTATCTACTTAGTAGATTTTAAAAGTATAAACCGTTAACGATATTTAAGTGATATCATAATATTAGAAAATACATTTTTAATACTACTAAAAGTTATAATCATTAATAAGGTTTATCAGTATATATTATCTGTTTTCTCGGAAATCATAATTTAAGTAAGGACATTAACGCATAGTATGCATTAAATATGGATTTAAAGTCAAAGGACACTATAATATTAGCATAGTATATTCTTTAGTAAGTTATTACTCAGAAACAGTATCGGTGAAAACAAATGAAAATATTTCGAAAAAAAAAATACGGCGGGACAATGATATAATATACAACACGTTTTAAAACGCAATCCTTCAGGCTACTGATACCATTTTATCATTAAATAAATACTATTAATGTATAATTCATTATTAGTTATTAGTTATTACCGACTTTAATTTAGATTTTTTTAAATTATGATTTGCTGTTAATTTACCTCCGTTATATTCACTTCGAATTAAATAGGTATAACCACTAAAAAAACAGTACGAACATACAAAAATATAATTTTTAAAAGTGAAAGATAAATCAAAGAAAGATGCGAAGTAAAGATGTAATGATAATTTATAAAAAAAATTGTTTAACTTTGAATTGATCGGTATATTGTACAGCTATAATAGTATGTTTACAGTTTTTTTATTGGTAACTTAATGGTTGTTTCCATGGTTATACACATGGATTTTAATTGCATAAAAAATTAATTACATGTACAATCCTACATTAATTTTCTAGCTATGCAAGGGTCAATATGGTATACCCACTAACGTGGTATTGAAACAGG